ATGTTATTTTCTTGATACAAGTTGAATTTATGAGGGCATTTTATGATATTTTTACGACTCCGAAATAATAAACTTTGTGAGTATTATTGTTTACATTTATAAATACTGTTTAATAGTGGTATATAAATGTACGAGTAACATTGTTTACATTCATACATGTTGTTTAATAGAGGTATATAAATGCTGTTTAATTTTACTTATTTAAAGGTATAATTATTAATTCTAAAATACTGTATTGTGAAATAAAATCGAAAATAACAACAAATTCAACTTCATCTTTTCCCTCCCCCCTGACCTCTCATATAATTATGGCTTACCTTGCCAAAGCACGAAAAGAGGATTTAAAAACTCTCGCTGCAGAACTGGGTTTCACTGTAAACGACACTATGCGAATAATAGATCTCAAAGATCTTATTGTCAATTCTGACACTTATGATGAGGCTTTTACCAGGAATCTTCTGGAAACTTTAATCGAAACTAGACAACAAAAACAACGTGAAAGCAACGATCTGGAGACACGTCAAAGAAAAGAAGAAGAACTTTTATATTAGAATTGGAACGTTTAAAGTTAAAACCTGGCAGCTGCTAGCTCAAACCCTAACTATACCGCCTTTGCTTCAAATGCAGCTATTGGAACAAATATTCAACACCTAATCCCTAAATTTACAGGAACTTCTGACATTGCAACCTACCTGCAAATTTTTGAAAGACAATGTGAGAAAGTTAATATAAAACAAATAGATTACATCACTCATCTCCTACCTCTTCTGCCTATAGACATTTCGCAAATTATTTTAAGAGAACCAAAAAGACAAATTAGAAGATTATTCTTACATCAAGAAGATTCTGCTACAAAGATTCAAATTAAATGCTGAATCATTTCGAATTAAACTTACTACACACCATAAAACCCCTGGGTCTTTATGGAAAGATTTTACTTACGAATTAAACAATTATCTCGAAGAGTGGCTCCATAGTCTCGATGTTACAGACTTTGAATCACTCAAAGACTTGGTCCTGACGGATCAGCTTAAAAGAAGAGTCAGTAGTGACGTTAAGGAGCATTTTATTGATACTTGGGGAAAAATAAAGAGTTCATCTGAATTAGTACAGAAATTGGATGATTATGAAGCTGTACGTGTTAAAAATACGAATTATAAAACTGAACTTCCTGGCAGGCGGAACTATTCTTACAAACCGACTAATCCATCCAAACACAAAGTAGAAAATCGAACAGGTGACATACAGGGAACTCATAAAACCTTTTCAAATCGTGTTCAGCAACAAACAGAGGAAAAGCGACCTCCTTTAACATGCTATGGGTGCGGAAAAACTGGTTTTATCAAGTCTAAATGTCCAGACTGTAATCCCCCAAAAGACTTCAAATTCATCAAATTTTGGCACTATCCAAATCCGATCCTGTTTATCTTCCACTCGGACTGCTGTATTTCCAATTAGTATTGGTGGTGTTTCCGGTACAGCTTTCGCCGACACTGGTGCTAGTCACTCAATTGCAAGTGAATCCCTCTATCATATTCTGCAAAAACAAGATGCAGTATTTGAAAAGACAACACTACAAGTGTCTTTCGCTGATGGTTTGGTATCTGAAAAAGAGGTACTTCGCACCGAACAAATCATTCTTCTCGAAGGCAGAGAGTTCAAAACTCCGCTCCTTGTGTTGCCTGATGCCAAAAAAAACTCGACTCTGTTAGGAACTGACTTTCTTCAAAAAGCTAAAATTGTTTTAAATCTTGCTGAGAATAAGTGGAACTTTTCTGATGAACCTCGAAGAAAATATAGCTTCGTGAAACCTCATCAATCCCAAGTACTGGAAGAAACCCCAGTTGTTGTAAACAACTGCCAACTACGAGAAAACGAAGGACAACAATTAACTACAGCCCAACGGCTTGCAACTGATGCATTGCTTAACAAATATCACACTGTCTTCAAAGTAGGGGGAGAAGCCACTAATCAAAAGCCATCTGGCTTACTTCAAACTCCAGTCTATGCTCAAAGTTTTGAGACCTTGTCAATTGATCTTTTCGGTCCCCTTCCTGAAACACCGTCTGGTGAAAAATGGATTTTTATTATGCAGGACTGTGCCACGAAGTGGACAGAACTATTTGCTTTAAAGGAAGCCACGGCCAGAGAATGTGCCACTATTCTTTTGGAGGAAGTTGCCCTTCGATTTGGGTTATCCAGGAAAATAATAAGTGATAATGGTACCCAGTTTACTAGTGCTGTTATGCAACAACTATGCTATATCTTGAACATTGATCAAAGTCTTACTCCTGTCTATCACCCACAATCTAACCCAGTTGAAAGGAAGAATAGATATCTGAAACCACGTTTAGCAATACTTGTTGGTAACGACCATCAGTCATGGAAGGATAAACTGCCATTAATAAGGTTTGCTTTGAATACAGCCAAATGTGATTCAACTGGACATTCTGCTGCTTTTCTTCAATTTGCACGAGAGTTACGAACCTTAGATGATGTAAAAGCATGATATAAAAGCCGTAATTGAGAACGATAATTTTGTTCCCGAAATTACTCCATATTTGAAACGTTTTGCAAGAAATGTACAACAGGTACGAGAAAGAGTCGAAATGCATCAAGATAAACAGAAACGTTATGCTGACAGAAAAACGAAGAGAAACACCGAAATTTGTTCCTGGAGATAAAGTTTGGGTCACCCTCCATCCAATCAGCAAAGGTCCACTGAAGAAAACTGCTAAATTCATGCCCAAGAGTGAGATGGTCCTTATGTGATAGTGACTACAAGATCTCCAACCACTTATGATATTGCCGATCCTCATGAACCAGACAAAATTCTCGGCAAGTATCATGTTTCAGCCTTGAATCCATATCAAGATCGAAATAAGTTTCAAAACACAGCTCGTGTAACTCCAGTGGTTCCCTTAAAGAACAGAGGACGCCCGAAACGTGTAATACCACCCGAATCTGCACCTGTTGCACAAGGTGCTGGTGACACTAAATTTCCTGCTTGTCAAACTGGAGCCCATCCATCTGATTCTCCGCCCGCTGCACAAAGTAGACAAATGTCAGTTCCTGACTTCTTGCCGAGACGTCTACGAAGTCAGAGGGGGAGGATGTAACAGACCTATTTAAGTGTAATTGAACTATTTTATTCACGCCATGAACTCATGAACTGTACCCGAACTATTTTATTTAAACGCCATCTCGTGGCGATATGAAAAAAAAAACGTCAGTCGACCTCCAACCGCCATGATGATAGCTTACTATGTTATGTTATTCTCAATGTTTGATGTTCCATTTCGTTTATGTTTCATTTTTATATATATTTCTTTTGTTTGTAACCGTTCCTGTGTGCTCTGTTAATAAATCCTTTTAAAGCTAGCCGGCATTAGTGTCTATTGAGGAACGGCTACATCACAATATTGATATTTTCATGCATAAGTTGAGATCCTTTGATAATTTTTTTATTACTTAAAGTTTGGGATTCAGCTTACTTACATGTTCAAAAGGATTTATGAATGATTCGATCACATGTATGATATGATGATTCAAACAATTTAAATTTATTTAAAAGCTATTTAATTCTGATATACACACTAATTAAATATAATATCGGCATTCGAATTTTAATTTTCCAGCAGTTTTCAGAAGTCTCTATTAAAGGCGAGAATGGATGAATATCACTGTTCTCCATTTCACCTTTAACATCGTTCTGATCTATTTCTTAAATAATATCATCTTCAATATTTTTCATAACTTTGGTCAAAATCAGCAGAATACGCAATTCGTTTTTTTTTTTTAAAGTTATTACTCGTTATAAAAGAGAAATAAGGAATTTCTTCTTTTACTCGTAACTGCGAGAGAGCAACTGCAGAGAAAATGCATTGTATTTGTCTCAGAATGATAAGCAAAACTGAGATACGAAAAGTGACTTATTATAACGCCACTCTATTTGCAGTGTTAGAAATGATAAGCATATCGTTATGCTGTGAGAAATAAGAAAGGAAAAATATTGGCGCGAAAACTGTCGTTTCATTCTGCAATGCTTTCAACTCATTTTTGCAATGGGTCTCTTAGCGGCCGAGCGGCAAAGTCGCTGAACACTGGTAGTTCGGTCCGAGTTTCGAATCCCGAGAAAAGCTGGCTGCATGGGCGTTTTCATGATTTTCCCCATGTATAACGTGCATACGAGCGTTTTCGTATGGAAGCTGAATGTGAATTCACACTCTTAAGCTTGTATCTAACAAAGAAGGTTTTCCAACCTTGAACTCTCAATTTTGCTAAAAAAATATATGTATAAATTTATTTATTTAACAAGAAATGCATAACAGTCAAAGAATTTGCTAATATTTTATAAAATATCCGAAATAAAATGATAATATAGAATTTTTGATTGCCAATGGTGAACTTTCTAACGAACTTGATCACCAATAACAAACTTTTAAAATTTCATGAAATATCTAAAACGGCGCTACATCGAAAACTACGGATGGATTTTTATATTTTTCCAATTTCTCATTCACACGCCTTATATTCCTTTACTATTTTTAACACTTCAAAAAGCTGTAATGCTTTTCAACAGCCACGAAATCCTGACCGTTGAAAATAAAGATATAAAACACAAGTATGTTGTTGCTAATTTTCATTGAAATTTGTAAAACCAATTTCAGGCATGCACAAATAAATAAATATGTGGAAACTCAAATGAAGTTTTACAATTACTATCATTTGCAAAACAAGCATGAAAACTTGCATGCATTTAGTTCATATGTTCTTGCATGCATTTGGTTCGTAAGTTCACATGGCAAATGAAACTAGTTTTAATATTCCAAATATAAGGAAGATTTACCGATTTTCACCATGCATCTATTAAAGTGCTGCGCTGTATCAAACCGAACGTGCAAATTTGTGCTAAGAGTAAATTCGTGTGCCGTGTGAAACAGAGTGCTAGACAAAAGCCAAACTTGGAGACTGCCACAAATCAGAAGAGATTTGGGTACCTGTGTGAGATAGATATGACCCACCATTGTTAATGTCTCGGCCGAAAGGATAAAGCTCCCTCTGAAAGAAAAGAACGTGTTAAACTTCAGTTATCAGAATAAAAAATTAATATCAATTTTTTATACAATTATAGCATTTAATTTTCGATAAAACTGCATTCAAAGATACTGTATCAGAAAAACTTAACTTCCTGTGTGAAATATGAGCGCTTTGTGATGTTTATCTATTTATTTTTAAATACTAGTTCATTTTAAGCTAGTACTTTCCTATTATTCTCTTTTTACCTACGCTTTTCATGTTAGAATGTAAATGAGATTGCGAGAGTTAATTCAGACTAAGGTAGAATGAAGTGCTATGTAAGCAAGAGTTTCGGAAGTTAGTTTTAGTGTGTGTCTGCCTATTCCAGGCCACGTTGTGCTGTGATTATTAGACACTTGCGTTAGCGGCGTTGAGTATTCTAGCCATTAAGCTTTGTTTCGCCGGTTTACTACAAACCATATCTCTTCCTCCGCGTTAAAGTATTCTGTGAGCCGTTATAGGCTAATTTACCACATGTTGAAATTATTAGTTATTACGTTATTCTGTTAAGCCAGAAGTGATTGGCTTCTTGTAACCCAAGTTGGGTCACTTGTTAATTTTATGGCTGAACAAAAGATTCTCATACGCTCTTCTTCCGATTTCTGTTTTGTTTCACAAAGCTAAAAGAAAATTCCTCAATAGTCCTTTTAAAGACTAATTCGCGTGTTCCCAAGAGACATAGAGTGTATAGTTTATTATTGTCTTATATTCTTTCTGAAGTTTCTGGTGTATTACATACATAAATATTTATTTACGTTAGTTTAATTTTCCTACTTGATGATTTATTCCCATTTTAATTGCTATTAGGAATGGTGGTCGTTCATTACATTCATTTCGCCGATATTGCTTGAATCAGCACTGCATGAAATCGACACTGCACGTGAAATCGACTCCAACACAATATCGAAATTGACACCGGCTCAATACTAGATATTGGCATACGATCGACACGATAAAAAGAAGTTTTTATAATGATGTAATTATGGGAAAAATAATAAATGCGGGTACGTCACCTTGTAGAATGTTCTCGCAGGCATACCTTCAACACTGCATGAGGTTGCCACCAATATCCTATCGACTCAGAATCGACACAGCCACAGCACAGCATTGCGTACAATCGACACCGGCATGAGTTCAACACGAACTGGGATCAATAATAGCTTACAGTCGAGTTTAGACAAGCACAGACTTATAATTAGCAATGGCGCATAATTACGAGGGAAATAATTTGATTAAATAATTATTTTTTAGTTTCCTTCATAGGACCTATAGAAACATAAGAGCACGGGCATGAGCGGCCCGAATATTTGTTTTATTTTCTTATACCAATGCCACACCTTGTGCTAAGCTTCATAGAATTATTAATTTCTACCTATATACCTTGTTTCATTTCCGGTATCTCTGCTGCTTATTTGTTAAATATAAATCATCGTTTCGGTTGTATAACACGCACTTGAGATATTTCAGTTATTTCTTAACAATTAATAATGCATTTTTCTTTTGTTCAGTACTGACAAGCATGGAATATTCTGTAACTGTTATATTTAGCTTTTTAAATTATCAATTGATTGAAATGATTTGCCAATTTCCCAAACTTTCTGTAATTTGTTATTTTTCTTTCCAATTTGTTATTTTGCTTTTCCAATTAAATCCAAACCGCTCTGAATTCTCTAAACTAAATTTAGTACTAATTCTGATTTTTTGATCTAATTCGTCGTATTCGATGAATAAAGGTAAATATTTTCAACATTAATTTGAAAATTCTTTTGCAAATTAAAATCAAAGTTACTTTTATGCGTGATTTTGTGGATACAGTTATAAGACATTTCTCCCGTATTGGTACCTAATCTGTTGTATAAGAGGAAATCGTCGGCATTTGGCAGCATTTTATAACACATTTCACTAGATTCAAAGAGAAAATAAAATTTTGAGCAAATTTAACCCTTTATTGCGTAATAAAATAAATATACATCATTATTTAGTTTTTAATTTGCTTTTTGTGCTAATTCATTTCAAGAACAAAAGTATCGCATCTTCTATTTCAAAACGGCGAACATGCCCTTCCTGAGAATAAGCGATGATTATGAAGGTTGCAAATGTCATCGATAAAGGGTATAAGTTAAATAAATTGAAAACTAGTAAAAAAACGGAATTTATAGCAAAACCGTTTTCCTCTTGCTGAACTTAAACATCCATAATTTTAGTTTTTAATACTATGACAATAAAAAATAATTAAATAGATAGTTCTAATTAAAATTTTGCATAATTTTTATTTAAAAATAGTTTTTTACTTCCTTGTACGAAGTAAGAAGGAAGTATTGTAATCGCGAAAAGCTTCAGGCTGCATATTTCAACGAAAATATCCACTTCCACCGCTTTCGAATGCAATTTAACGATGTTTTTGCGTGATATCTGTACGTAAGGACAGAATAAAACACTCTTTTACTCCAAAAAAACTAAAAAACTGCTTTAAAATGAATTCTGAAGAGAATTTTTCGTGGCGTCTGTACGAACGTATGTACGTACGTATCTCGCATAACTCAAAAAACGAGTAGCCTTAGAACGTTGAAATTTTGTATATTGGACTACTATAACATGTAGATGTGCACCTCGTATTTTGGTTTCAATCGGCCGCGCGAAACGTATATAAATATATTTATAAATATATCCACTCTGTTACCTGGCTCAGTGATCTCAGTTTCTTTACTTTTATATGTTTGTAAATTGTACATTTTTTTCTTTAAAAATGATTGAAATATGTTGTTTTTATCTACCGGTTAAGGGTTTTATGCCTTTAGTAAATCTGTATGCAATTTTTTTAGAATTATCAACAATTTAAAAGTTGTTTAAGTGCCGCTAAGCCTATTTTGATGGCGGCCATTGCTTGTTTACATTTGAAACAGCTGAGTAGTGAATTTGTTGCCAATCTAGAGAAACGTGGCTTCGCAACAACAAAGATAAACGCCTTTATTTATTATTGCGATTTAAATCATGCTTAATCCTTTCTGGAATTTTTTCGGGGAAATAAGTGTTTAAGATTTACTTAATTTTTAATAATTTAATTTTTAAGAATTAGTAATTTAATTTTTAATAATTAGTAATTGTCAGTAGAGATATTTTGAGTTTTTATGTATTTTTGCCTTGTCGCGAAGTGAGAACTGAATTAATTGAATGAGAAATACTCAATCGTCTGTGAAAAACTGTTTCCTTTTTGTTTTGTTTGCTTAATTTCTTTTATACATCGTTCTAGCTTTATTATAGTACTTGAATAGAACAGGTGGCAACGATTAGATAATTCTTTAAATGATACAAATTTTGTGCATTCTGAGTTATAATATGAAATATAATACTGTTAAGTGAACCTAGCGCCAGAGTGTCGCTATGGTAAACAAATAGAGTGAATTTTAAAGAATGCACTTATTCTATTGTGGTTTATGCGCTGTCGGCGAAGTAGATATAATTAAATCTAATAAGTTTAAACACAATGTAAGAAAAAATGCGTATAATTTAATATTCCGTACAAGGAAGTCATGTGGTGTACACATCAGATTTTTTTAATAGAAGAAAAAACAGTAATTTCCAGAAAGGGAAAGTGTTTTGAAGCAAAAGCTATAATATCTGTCCTAGATTTCAGAATAAAAAAATGTCCTGTTTTCCGAAATTATTAATACACTTTATTTTTAAATACTTAAAGAACATTCTGAGACTTACCATTTCTTCCAGCTTTCGGTTTTCCCATTCCTTTTCTCTCTCTTGCAACTTTTGCTTATGCTGTATAAATTCATCTGAGAATAAAATAAGAAGAAACTTTAATTTACAGTTCAATACCTATAATATCGTAATTCAAGATGCAATAATAGATTTCTAAATAGTGTTGGATCACCAGTGGAAGTCTTTTATCTTAGAAAACGGCTGATATAAATTCATGAATTTCTTTATTATTCAGGAATCAAAAATAAATGGCTGATTAATATTCATTTATGTTGTTTAAAGCAAAATTCTGTTCTGGAGCTACATATTATGCAGGGTGACTGAAAAGGATGTAAACTTTTAAGTATAGTATTTTAGGGAATTTTTCAATGTGCATTAGCATAATTAGCACGGAAATGTATAAAATACCACGTTTCATTTTTCTTCTTCTTTTAAGAAAGTTTGTCGGGCAAATTTTGTAATTACAATTCCGCTCGTCTGATAGCACTTCATCTGTAAAAAGATGCATAATAACTCCTATTATAAGATGAATGGGGGCGTCACCATTCTTCATAAGCTGGCGACTCATGGAAAGCAAAAAGGTAATTTCTGTAGGAACTGTGCCGACCAATAATTGACTGAAAAGATCACTAAAACTTGTTATTAGATCCGCCCCGCGCTGTTCATTCTGTAGTTAGTTGTGTTGATTGACATGATGTTGACCCGGGTTCGGATCCCGAAGAAGGCATGTGTGTTTGTAAATATATAGTGTCTTTGCAGCTTAAGGGCTGATACGAGTAGAAAGGCCTCTCGAGCTGTTGGTTGACTTTAGTTCGTGAATGGCAAAGCACATGAGGGTTTTCTGCCTAAAGGAATGGGTGCTACTGTACGTACATCATCTCCGTACGGACGCGAATGGCAAAGCACATGAGGATTTTTTGCCTAAAGAAATGGATGCCTCCGTACAGACATCTCCGCTTGGACCTCTGTTGGCTATCGATGAGTTGGTGGTAAGGCAAGAATGTCAGGAGATCCTTTGATTCTTCCCGTCGGGGTGTTCTTCAAAATTGGAATATTTTTGAGCAAATTCGTATTGCTAGCTATACTATGTCCAAAGGCTTGACTAATGACAAGCGCAAACCCTTCCCTCTTAACCACGGTTAATTTCTGATATTTTCTATGTTCAGGTTTAAGAAGATCAGTCACATCAGCAGCAGTAGAAATGATAGATAGATGCCATTGTATAGGATCCTTCTCACACTGCCAGTGGTGTTGGATGATTTCTGGCTAACAATCTCTTTATATAGCTTCATAATCAAAAATCAAACGATTTCAAGTCTGGAGTGGTTACCTATACTGAAAATGATAACTTTTTGGCCTAAAAGGGAACTAGTCTCGAAACACGATTTTGCGTTGATTCACTTCAAAAGCAAAGCTCTATGGTCAAGATGCCAAGGTACATTGCCATTGGCTGGATAGAATTGCAATTAAAAATAATAAAAGCTTTCAACCCACTAGAGAAGTTTCTTCCGATCGGTCGAAATCTGATGAGAGAGTTCAATAGTGGAGACTGGTGCAATACGAGGGCCGAGATGATCTTGAAACTTTTTTATAATTTGAAGATAGTAGGCAGAAATTTGAACTATTCTTTGTAGATTGATCGGTAATAGTTTCAGTTACCGGTGTCGCAGAAATATTTGTACAGCAAAAGTTGAATTTCTAGCAGTCTAAAATTATAATTCGAAAAAAAGAATTTACATTTTTACTAACTAATTTTTTACTTCTGAAATATTAGGCAGAAATTTTGCTCTTTTTCATCTTACCCAAGTTTCCTCGATAGTTCTCTTTGTTTTCCTTTTTATATCTCAAATGATTTTCGATGCTCAGCTTTACATCCTGAGTATCTTGAAAACGGATATCTGGATCACCAGTTATCTGGGTACGTATTCTGCCAGATTCTGTTCTGTTGGGTGCACCGGCTCCTGGTCTCCCGAATTTTCGAATGAAAACCTCCATGTTTTCTTCTTCGTCGTCTTCCGGTCCTGGAATTCTTCCTTCTGGATATTTTTTCCGCTTAGAATCGTCCTGTAAAAATGAGTTAAAATTTGAAACTTTCTCGTATCAATTAAGAAAAGTATTATTATTACAATAATTGGTTTATTGTAAAAATACATTTAGTTATTTTAAAATGGCAGATTCTTATGAAAAGTCAATAATTATACCCACTTTTTTAAAAGCACGTGAATAATTTATAAAAAACTTAACTTATTACTAATTTCGTAAGCTACAACAATAAAGTTTTGATGCTGAGCATATTTTTGGACAGCTTTATAGTAAATCCAAATGAAGAAAGTCTCAGCGTCAGTAAACGTCAATATGGAAGGACAAGACCTGATTAAAATAAACGCAAGCAAGGCATGTGCTCAAAGCATTGACATTAAAAAAGCTCTCAAATTCCTTTAAAATATTTAAAATTTTAATATTTTTTCCAATTCTATATTTTAAATGCGTAAAATTAGAAACAGGAACAAAATCTTAGATTCTGTACTTTAAGGTTTTTATATATTTCTTCAAAAACCAGGCTTTAGACCGTTTAATGGCGCCTCAGTTTGTAAACTAGTGTCCGATTATACAGGCAATCTCCATTTTGCTACGGGCTACTACTATTGAAGCTCGCAATGCCACATAAATAGCAGGTTTTTCTGATTAACAAATAGGTGATAATATACTTGATTATTAAATTGACAAACACATTTGTTGCATTATATTAATTTTATCTGTAACTGAATTCAGTCTGTAATGCAATTAATAAAATAATTTAGGCTCTTCTCTTTATTCCAGTTTTCCTAAAAAGAAAATAAAACCTTGATTTATGATGCTGAAGCTTGTTTCGACACAGCATACGATAAACTGAAACCGTAAAAACAAAACACACGAGGTGAGATGCTTTTCTTGTTTAATAAACTTTCAATGAAAAAATTTTGAATTATTTTGCTATTTCATAAAATATTTTAAATAATTCGCATAAGTGATATCTGTTACATTAAGAAGAATTAAAAACGTAGTCTTCACAAAAGGTTTTGCTATACAAATCGGTTGAGGAAGAACCGTAATATTCTTCTGCGAGATGATGCTATCTGTGTTATTAGTTAACTTTTAGAAGAAAGTGAAAATAAGTTGCATATAGGCCAGAGCCCTCGCTCACGCTTGATTTGTAGTTTCAGAGATATCACTCTTCTTTCTTACATTTTTAAGGTAAGCAATATTTCATTCAGATACCATCTACCAGAAGTCTATTTCAAAACTGCATTTTATTTCATGTACTTAAATGTCATTTCATATTTTTCCCAGTAGATCAAATTCAGTTTTTGAGCGAAACTAACGGTCACGCTTGAGGATAAAAAATCCATTGCTACATTATATTGCATTTTTCAATGTTAAAGTCATTCGTTTCATTTTAGAGGACACTGAATTCAGTGTTACACTAAGATTTATATTCAGAAAAGAATTTCTATGGTACAACTATGGAATAATACATCATCAGTTAAAGAAAGATGAATCTAATAGGCTAATTTATCGGCATACCTAAATATTGCTAGATGAGTAATATAAAACTTATAAAAACGTACCAGAGTAATTTTCATTGCTTTTATCTCTTAAAATCGCCGTAGCTGACGCTTAAGTATTTAAAAAAAATCACATCTTTTCATTTAGAGGACAACGCATGCTGAAACGTTCCTTTTAGAAAAACAGATGCGCCAATTGAATACTTTCAGAGAGAAAACATTCTTTCGTTATCATCTCATTTTGACTGTAATAACGTACATATAAAACATATATCTCTTATCTTTTTTTGGCACATAAAATACACTTAGTGATTAGTTTCCATGTTACAGGTTACACCTGTATATTATGTTCCAGCAAGTAATCGTCAGAGTAACTTATGACAAACTTTTCTTAGTCAAAAATCGAAGAGTCACAGATGTACAACTTATTTATTCTTATAAATCTTCTCATGCATTAATTACAAAAAAGTATTGCCCGCTGGAAAAGAGTTATACTCCACAAAGTTACAGTTAAAGGATAATATCTGTCGACTTCATAGAAGAGCACTGGTGCACTTGTTTTACTTTTATCTGTCAACTATCTCGGTTAAGGTATCTGCCGAAATCATCGTGGAGAAAATAAAGCAACGCGAAAACGTCCTACAGTTTTGTAAAACGTGAGACAAAAGAAAGCAAAGAAAAAAGCATCGCAGTTTATAAAACGCCGTTGTACAAAACATCGTCGTCGAAAATAAAGCTGTTAAAAAACTTCGTAGTTTAAAAACATCATGGTCGGAAATATCGTGGTAAAAAATTAAGCAGCTACAAAATCACCGCATGACGATAATATCACAGACATGCGTTTTTCAAGCTTTAAAAGTTGTAAATGCATATTCGCATAATGATCTGTGACAGCAACAAGGAATGAGGAATATTTTTACCTTTATATTTCACATTTTTGGCTTAATTAGTAATTTTTTGCTAAAAAAGCAAGAAAGAAACTTAAGCATTCAAAAACTGAAAATAAGTAGAAAATTAATCTATGTGTCTCTGTTAATAGAATTTTAAATTTATGTACTTAACTATGAAAAGTTATCATTTAAGTAATGTCTTTTAATATGAAGTTGTATTGGTAATTTTTCATAAAAAATGTATGTAAAGATATTAGAAAAGGGAAGGTGAGTAACTGAATGAGGTTACCTATATTAAATTTATTCAACTAATTAAAACAAAGTAGAATTTAATTTTTACTAAGTGAATATCAGGTTAACAAAGTAAAAGAAAATAGTTTTACAGTTTCATAATTAATTATACAATTTTATATAGGTTAGCTCATGCAGTTATCTTCTCTTTTCTAATTTTTTAGGCAATATTGAAAAATTACTATCCAACTTCACAAAAGAGATTTCTTAAGCAATAACTTTCAGTAGTTAAGTACATAAATTTTAAATACTATTATCTGTCATATGTGGAATTAATTTTCTCTTCCTTTTCAATTTTTGAATGCTTCTTTTCTTCTTGCATTAAAAAAATAAAAATTAATAAATTAATAGAATAAATAAGAAGGAGACTTTAAACATTTAAAAACTGAAAGTAAGTAGAAAGTAAATGCAAACTTACAGCATTTAATATAATTTTAAACTTACTTAACTGGTTTTAAGTAATAAATATTATTAATAAATTAATTTTTTTATAAAGTGTTACTGTTAATGTTTCATGAAAAATATAGTTTAAAAAAGAATACAAAAAGGAAGATAAGTAACTGTATGAGGTAAACTCATGCTTGCGATGTTATTGTCATGCGATGATTTGTAGGTACTACTTTATTTTTTATATTTTCGACGACGATGTTTTTAAACTGCCAAGTTTTTGAACTGCTTTATTTTCGGTGACGATATTTTGTACTATGATGTTAAAAATGGCGATGTTTTCTCTGCTTGCTTTTCTCCCATGATGTTGTTTCTCCCATGCGTTGTTTTCTCCGATAAGGACAACACGTTTAGTTTAACATTGGCCAATAAGGAACGTTAGCACATATATCTTTCCATAGGAAACTGTTTTGGTCATGTTATCTCGTAAGGGTAAAGACCCAAGACTTCTACAAACAATGTACATATTAAAAGAGCAGAAAAACATTTTATAGAAAGCTTATTATATTACTATTTGGATCATATCTGAAACAAGTCTTTCAGCTATCAAGCGGCTAAAGTACTAAATATTGATTAAAGGCTAGATCATGATTAAGTGAGCTGGCTATGCAGAAGTATTTTTATCATTCCTGACAGGTAAAGTTATTCCTTTAGAAAAGAACTATGAAGACATTGTTCTTCAGACAAATAATTTTCAAATTCTTTCCATATGCAAAAAGGATCCAGTCAAAAACGAAGCCGAAATAATCAGTTTTAAAAAATAAAAAATAAATTAAACTATCATACTCACTCCTTTAGCTCCAGCTCCAGGTTTACCCCAAGGATGATAGCTGCGTAGCATTTCCATATCCTAGTGTGAAGTAAGATTGAAATATGTTACTTTTTCAAATAATTGTGCAATTAATTAACCGTAAACTATTATACATTATTTCCCAATTTATGAAAAATAAATATCTTTCAGTTAAAGAAACAGTGTACGAGAGTTTTCCGTTTTAAAATAATTAATGATTTTTATCATAATTTGCTTGTTGGCATATATATAATTAGTTTCACAATTTACTCTGTTTATGTAACTGGGTTTAGGAATGTTGATTTTTAACGTTAAATAATTATGGTATAATTTATTCAAGCAAAATGAACAAGGTATTTTCTGAGGAATCACATTCGCTTGGACGTGCGCTCGTTGTGTAACTAGTTGGCACGCCCAGCTAGTAAATGGAAGACCTATGGTTGCAATCTCAGTGAGGTCGCAATTGAGTTTTCACATAACCTAATAGCCTAATAAGTACCTAATAGTCTTTACAGTGGTGCATGTCATATAGTATGAAGGCTATTAATCTCAGGCACCTTTTCAATTTCCCTTTTAGCCGGAAATAATGTAAGGAATTATTATATCTCTCGTGAATGTTCTCGTAGTGTCAATGATTAGCAAGTCAGCTAGCATTTGGGAGATATGTGAACTGAGTCCCGCCGAGGCCACAGTTGACTTTTTACATTTCGTGCGTCGGAAAAGTCTAATATTAAATAACAATTTTAAGTCGGAAAAGTCTAATATTAAACATTTTTCTCTTTCAAATTTAGAATCAAGACAAACTATATACAGAATATAAAATAACTTGATTACATAATTAAGATTAAAGCAGTAAAAATACTGTAATTAATGCAAATATTTTTGTATAAAGTTTTCACTATGTAAAAAAAGTTGAACCTTCTGTAAGACGACAACTTGCAATTGCACATGATTTTGGTCCGCTATGGAGGTGGTCGTCGTAAAGAAGTGATGCTCAACGGCGATACTTATTTTGCGTTCTCAGAAATGTTCTTTACTATCAGAGTTCACCATCTTAGGTAGGTCGCAATTGACAGAATCACTATATTTAAAATAAAGCTGAGGACAAAAATAAATATATTCAGTTCTGATTATTTCTAAGAAATAAAAAATATGCCTAACCAGCTTACGTTGTAAAACTTAATTTTTATTTCCTACTGATCATTTTTTGCAACACAGCCTGAGCCATTTTTGTTATCCCTTTGAAAATAGTTATTTTTTTCTGCTAGTTCTATCATTTCCTTTTTGTTTACGAAAGAAAATATGTTTCAAGAACTGTTGTTTATTCGAAATCAATAGCATTATTTTTACGCAAAAATTACGTTATAGGCTCTAAAATATTTATTAATTTTGTTGGAATATTTAAGTTTGCAGCAAATATTGGATAAAGAATGCTCGCACGACTTTATTTGGAAACATTATATGGTGAATATGCAACTGGATGCTTCGGGAAAGTTTCACTAAAATGATGACCCACAAAATACTATGGATAATAAGTGAACGAAAGTTTATTTCAACATTGGAAACGTTCTACGTTCTATACAGAACTCTGGTAGGATTGGGAAACACCAATTCATGAAATTAGTGTTTTCTTCTTTCAGAGAAAACAAACAAAAACGGATTACTTGGATGCTTAACTTCATATGCTACAAGAACACAACCCATCGAATGAATATTGTCGAATTCCTGTCAATTAAATATATTCCTAGAATATCTTCAAATACCCTTTGCTATCATTTCGTTTCGTGAAGCTTAACTACAGTTGTGTTGCGAACACAGCAATTAAAGCCATTAGAACGGTCAACAACAATATTTTCTCTCAATACCGCTTCATAAAAAGTGATTTGGTATACTATAGTGTTACGAAATGTTTAGATGCGGTAAGATGTCTTCTCCGCAAAGCGGATTTTGTGGTTGCCAGAAAATGGCAAGGGAAGGCAGAATTGCCATATTTGGAAAGAAATCGCCTATTTGGCGACAAAATTGGCGATATACCATAGACGGATGGAGAACCTTCTAGAACACGTTATTACTGTTTTGGATCAGAATGTTCTCGAAGGCAGCCCAAAAGCTGTATAAACCCTGCCTGCACACAGAGTAGCAGTCAGCGAGTGAGAGTCTAGTTTAGTCAGTTAGTGCCTCGTCTAGCGAGATGACCGTCAGTCTAGTGTCGATTTGGTCGTCGAGAGTATCGCGAGTCTATCGAGTGTATCGTCGAGTCTATCGAGTGCATCGCGAGTTATAGCATGGAGAGTCTCAAGAGTACGTTAAGTTCTGAGAACGACCGAACATAGTCAGGAGCTGTACTCTGGTGTTTCGCCGTGAAACTGCCTTCACCGTTATAAGCCTGATAGCCTGAAGGCTGTTTGCTGATTGTTTCAGCGTGCTCGTCGTAGGTTTTCGACGACTGTAATCGTGATTTTGGAGCTGTCCTGAGTAACACTGGCTAAATAAATAATATCTGATTCTTCTTCAAGTGTTGTCGTCAATCCATCCAAATCCACGAACCCGTGCAAAAACGCAACAATAGAATAAAATAAAAAACTGTGAATTAATTATCAGCAACAAAACAATAGACTGTGGAGGCCATGTCTTAAAGTAAATAAGCATTCTTTATAAAGACGAAACACCTCTGTATGTCTTTAGAATGGCATGATGTTGTAAGAAGATTCTACTAAGTCATGCTCTTCATTTGTGGCGAGCAGTAGATCTATTCAAAAGTCTTGCCAATACAGGGAGTACATGAAATATATTAAAACGCGCATATATAATATCTGGCATGTCCTCGAACTTATATCCTTTAGATAGTATCTTATAAGCTATCGACAGGCCCCTAGCATAAGGTTAAGTATCAAATTTCACAGAACATTTGAGAAAAGAGACGGAGGAAACATTCTACAACCTTTCGAACAGAATCCCTTTGAGAGAATACCAAACAGGTACAAGGCGGATATTGGTGTTCGAAGTAGCCATAATTTCTACTGACCTTCAAGATATATCAGTATTCATGCAGGACTTTGCACATTTCAAAACTACTGCAGGAGGTTTTATGGGACCTCTTCAAGCTTTTATCTTTCTCCATTATTTCAGACGAAATACTTTTTAATATTAACAAAGATACTGTGATGCGTTTGTCGCACAGTCGGTATGCTTCTTTTTCTGTAAAAGGATTAATCATTAATTGTACTCCAAGATTGCACAGTATTTTAGCAGTTACCAAGCAGTATAATAAATTATACTGAATACGGGGAAGACAGCAAGTGATGAATTTGCGCTCAGACATTCAGAAGGTTTGTTTTTTCCTACTCCCGTTCTTCAAGGCCGCAGTTATTCTCGAGTCCTTTTAACTTATTTCTTCTTTTAATTGGCCCCATACAGTAATTAATAAGAATCTTACGTATAAAAGAACTCATGTGGAAAAGAAAGTTAAAGATTAAAAGAAGATCAAGGAAACCTATGTAGCTATCCTGTCACTTATTAAAATCAAAGAAAATCGGACAAACATTAGTAGGGTTGGCGTTCTTTGTCCCGTCTGCCTGGCACGAGCGTCCACTATAGCAGTACTTTGCTGAAGAGAATATATCTTTTACGTGTCTTTATGGCTTTTGTACTGGCAGTTCGAATAGTCTACAAGCGTTTCAACAATGAAGCAGGTGACAGGAGCTCGCATATGTTCGTACACTGAGGGGGTTAGTTTTTTATGCACCATTCTGCACATTATTTAAAAAAATTATTATTTGGCATTTTAACATTAATTTTCAAAACTAATTTTACATTGAAACATTTTTCAAGTATTCCGTATTAAATACTGAAAGCCTTGAAATCTGATGCTTTTAAGTAAGTTTCTAATATGTAAACGATTCCAATACAATGATTCTGCTTTTAAGACAGTGTATAGTTCGTGACTTATCCAATACTCGAGAGCCAAGTAGCAATCCATCGAATATCCTGAAAGCTGGTGACCATTGCAGAAATTCGTTATCAGTTTTTAAGACTTTGAAATGAACAAACTATTGAATGGACCATATGAAACACGAGATTTAACTTTACTTGGTTTCACCAAAGTATGGGATTATGTAAAAGTCAAAATTTACATCGGGGCAGACTTATTGGGCTGCTGAAAGTAAAAGAAGGAAACCGACCTACTTTTCCCCCCAGACTGATTTTATTCAGTCATCGAAAGCATGTTATTGAAATGAATGCATCTATTCCGTCTGCCTGTTATAAACGTTTTACTTTATCCGTAGGAAAGGGTATAAAATTCTTTCGAAAATGAAACATAAAGGAAGATTATCTTGAAAAGATTTTATAGCATTAGCATTTTGAAAATATAATATAATTTTCCATTTTACTCTTGACTTACATGAAGTATATGTCATATACTTCTTAAAAATTTATGTTTGAAGTTTCAAGAGCATCAATTTATGCCTATATACAGCATTTTTAATATTTCAGTTTAGTAATCATGTATGGTAACAGAAATATAAACTTTCAAATTACCAGAAATTATTTCCTAATATTTAAAATCTGAAATAGGTTTCGTTAATAAACAGTATTCCTACCCTTTTCTTTTCTTCTTCTCTTTGTCTGCGTTTGATTTCTTTCAGCTCCTGAACTTTACGCTTTTCTTCCTCTACCATTTCTTTCTCCTTCTGGCGACGCCTGACGTCTGCAGTTCTAAATAAAAAATATACTGAATTCAAAAGACTGAATTTGTAAATGATTTAAGTATAGCAATATTATTACAAATGAAATGGCAGATGAAACATGCGGCGAATTTAGTTAAACAGATGCGACAGTTTTTGTTAATGCTAACTCCTGAGGAAATGAGACACTTGCAAATATGAATGATGCAGCGGTTGTGAACATGTAATAACAAGTAAAAACTATTGAGAAAAAATCTACTGTAGAAATTATCCCCAACTCAGGATCCTTTTTCTTTATTACATAAATTCTATGAGTATTGGAAAAAATATAGTTGTACTAAATATTTTGGTGTGATAGCAAAAATTTAGATTAACGGTGCCTTTTGCACTTTCAAATATTTATAGTAGCTAGTACTTTTCGCACTTACAACGAGTTAAAACAGTTGGTGCCTTTTAGAGTCTATGCCTTTCTCACAGAAATTTAGAACAGCTGGTGCCATTTGTATTTACATTCGACCGTGGTTCGCAATATTAAAATCAAGAAAAAAAGTCAGCAAAATAAAATTTGTACCCTCCTTCCTTAATTCTATAACTAAAAAACTTGACGAATCGGGTTAATGCAGTATTACGGAAACTGAATGCCCACAACTTTACTTTTTAGTACTAATGCATTAGGGAAAATATCTTTTTAAGTGAGTGTTGCACAAATTTTCAAATCAGAATAAGGAAACTGTACTAGAAAAAGGTTCTCTTTCCTGAATAGGCACAAACAGAGAGTTTTCTGTAATTATTGTGACTGTCAATATAAAGGTACGTCTTTCACGAGAACTGAACCCTTTCACTAAAAGGTTAGGGGTTAAGAATGCTCTAAAGTACATTCCAGATTATTCTATATCCAAAGACGATTAATCGTCTTACATCCATACTGTTCTAGAGGTGGATCTGTGGAGTCGCACATGTCACAGTCGCTAGGGGGACAAGTTCCAAGCGCCTCCAAATCATTAACTAGCTTTTGAAAAAGAGTAAACATACTGTAATTTTAAAAAGAGGGGTCCCTCAAACGGACAAATGAGATGTACTCACTACTTCGTAAATCCGCCACTGTCCTCATTCAGTGTTATATCTCACCTATTATTCCTGTAGCATGAAACTGTGACAATTAATGAGTTAGTGCAAAGATGCTGAAAACTTTGCATTAAACGGCCATCGAAGGGGGCCGCTAAACCAACGTTAGACTCCATATGGTATAAAACGACCCATGCAACTGATTTACAATATGGGATATGATATTGCACTTCACATTACTTATTTAGTTGTTTTTAGTTTTCTACAACAGATTACGATTTTTCAGAAAGTTCGACTTTTCTCTACTGAAGATATTCTAGAACCATTATGTTTTCAGAGCAAGAAACGTGAAAAATCAACAATCGGAATTCGAATCACGTATCTGCAAATTGTTAGCCGCTCGTACTAGCAGTTACACTGCCATAAGCACACATGGGGAGGCGAAAATTCCTTACATTATCACCCACTTAATGGAAAACTGGGGAAAGAGGAATCAGAACCAGTCAGCCAGATTTATGTAATGACGAATTATTGTCCACCATATTTTAGTCAGACGCCACTTGTAAAGCTACTAGAATTTTTTGCAGGGAGAAACAAGAAAAAAGTACTATGTCCTTCCCGGAATTTTTCGATGCTAGCCGGATGTGTTGCCAATTACATTACAAGGGCATATACAGAGAACGGAATAAAATACTTAATGAAACGCTTTACCAGTGAATACCTGTCAGATTGCTCAAGACTTCCTGTCCTATAGGAAAGCCGCTTTTCTCAAAAATGGAATAGATAAGAGGGCCATTATATATTAATGCTACTGGTGAATACTTTGTTTAAATATAGTTTACGAACCCCTTCCCTTTTCTTTACATTTAAACATCTACCAATTCGACCATTTCATTTACAATACCTCAATGCAATCAAAAGTTTTATACTTACAGAAGCTACTCTTTGAAAATATTTCTTATCCGATTTTTACTAAATTAATTCTTCTACGTATCTAATGTAAATACTATCAAATACGTTTCAAACGAAATACTTTTTAAAATATTAACAGTTACTTATTTTCCTAAAGATAAGGAACCAAAATAATGCATTAATATGGGCTTTAAACAGCACAAGGCGTTAGAAAGAAAATGTTGTCAACGAATGAGATGCAGACGCATAATGCCAGGAGGAAGAAGCTGCTTAATGGTGCATTGGAACTAGGTCTCCTACATGTCAGTAGCACGTTCATCAATCGTACGAATGAAAAAGTAATGGTATAACTCCCTCTATCATTACAAAGAATAATCTACACAGCAAATCTCTTGGATGGGCTACATGAATCAGTTGAAAATAGCATGATTTATGCGAATTATTTCATCGACCTTCATATTCTGCTTGTTCACTGAGCTTCATTTAAAATTCTTTATGGTAAAGTATTAAAATTTATTAATAAATTTATTTGATTCTTTCACATTTTCAGTTTAGATTCATTTCAGAGGTAAACAACGACAGTTTGCTGTGTTGATCGAATAAAGGGTTGAGTAAATTACCGTTGAATACCAATTATTCGGAATCCATATAACCTGAACTCCAATGATCCAGTTTTTTGATATAACTAGCAAAATTAAACATATTAAAATTTATTTAACATCAATTTTTTAATTGATATTATTTATATAAATTAACGTACACTAAACAACATAACATAAATGTTATGTATATTATAAACTTGTACTAGTTAACATACACTAAAGAAATAAACGTGATTCTCGCATGAAGACCATGTTGTGCAAGTTTCCCTAATTTTAATTTATAACACATCTCATACATAAACATATTAGACTGAATTATAAACCAAGTATAAATAATTTGGTATTAATCCAAGGAAAAGAAGCATAAACTAAACCTAGTAAGTAAAAAAATATATGTTACATTCAGAATTCTAAAAATTTTTAACATTAACTTTTCTTGAAAGGTCTGTCAGGAAAAAGATATCAGCAAACGCACGAACGCCGATGATTACACGATCATTTTATTTTCAACAATGTACCCCTTCCCGAACCACAGGGAGTTCATCAAACTTCATATAAGCAGTATACATTCATACTACACAAACGTTCGATTTCCTGGCAAAAGAAAAAAGTAAATATCATCTATAAACAACTGCGAATTTAAATGGAACGTCAAGGATTGGATTGGATTGGATTATTCTATTATGGCAAAGCACACGAGGACTATTTGCCTAAATGGAGGGATGCCTTCGTGGAGGACTTTCTAAGGGAAACTGGCTCGTATACACGTTAAACATGGGGAAAACCACGAAAACGCCCATACAGCCAGCCCGTTCGCGGGATTCGAACCTCAGACCGAACTACCAGTGTTCAGCGTCTTTACCGCTCGACAGCTGCTGGGCCAATGGAACATCAAGCAACTTAAATGTAATATTATCTAAATTAATAAAAAATATTCACATATTTTCGGAGATTGTTCAATAGTCCCCAAGAGCATACCATGACGCTAAGTACATTTTTAAATGATTAAATTTGTGCATGGAAGCTACTAGAAGAACAAATTTTAATTAAAAAATTTTTTAAATTAATTAAATTAAAAAAATAATAAACAATCTCAAAAAGATATACTCACAGTACATATTTTTAAATTAACACTGAAGATAAAACTTTAGTTCTGAAGTTCTAAATTGTACAAACCTTGTAAAGGACGTCTAATAACCGGTTTTTACCTTGCAAGCCGTCACCTTGCTATCTCTTCCAGGAAATAACTCAAGGATTCTCTATAAAATTCTCTCAATCTCTATAAATTTCGAGGTAAATTATCCTCTTTAACTAAAACCATACCATTAACTTTAAATTCGGGAATATTATTCTTAACCAATTACGAATACGTAGATCTTAAATTCAACAAATACTCTTTTTTTTTCCACCTGGATCAAAAGGAAATCATTAATTTTTCGCGATAATTATAGGCCTTTATCAAAGACTTCCTGAAAGAAAAATTTAAATCATGGTTAAGCCTTAGAGAAGGCAAAGATGACATTCTTTTTCCTAAAAGGAAATGCGCTATAGTTAAGGCATGTGGTTCATCTAAATCACTTCCAACATTGGCCGAGAGTTAATCATCTCTTCAGTTTCGATTAGAATAGTTTGCAACTGCTCTGTGGTCAGAGATGATTTTCCATGAGTCTTTCGTAGAGCAACTTTTACGGAACTCACCATACGTTCATAAAAGACTCTCCAATAGGCTGCTCTTTCCCCGATACACTTTCAGTTAATTCCTTTAAGTGGGCATTTCAGCATAATTTTTTTTTACTTCTGGAGGATTAATTACTAAACATATTTGCTTCAATTAAAGTTCAGCACGTTCAAAAGTACGTACTGAACGTAGAACATAAGTCCCTTCGAAATGCAAAACGTAGGAAGGCAAGCAGAAATGCATCTGCCTTCATATTACTAACTAGTTCCAGAAGAGCCCTTCTTGTAACAGCACATGGTTATCAATAGAATATATTATTTATTTTTACAATCTTCCGCAAATAACGGAGCAACATAGTCGATCCCAATAATTGTAAATGGGGCTGATTGTTCCACTCGGACAGCTGGTAAGGGAGCAGCCATCTGGTCTCCTGGAGAAATGCTAATTTTTTTTTTCAAATAACACATTTGCTCAGAAAGGATTTTATACCTTGTCTGGTCTTTAATATCCGGTATTTTACTCTCACCTGCACCATCGTGGGAGATACGCCGGAATGAAATACTTTATTATAGCATTCCCAAATCCATCTAGATCCATCTAAATCCTACAAATCAGTCCTACAAGTCCTATGAGTAAATCTCAGATTTACTCAGTGGTTGGACCACAATGTCGCCAAATGTTCACCAATGGTGAGATTTGGTGATTTTTCGTCAAATTTGTCAACAAAAAGTAATCGACGGAGCTATTGCTAGCTTGATTGGCGAGATGCCAATTTTTATCAATGCTAAATGGACTTACCCCCGAACCTCTATTTATCAGGGGTTGCTTTGCATTCTAAGGCTATAGTACAATATACATATAATTTCACTATAATTATTTATATGTATACAAAATTCGTAACAATATTTGCCTCAAGTGGCTATACTTCCTGTTTCTCCAGGATATGAAATCTCCGAGCTGAAAACAATAAACCCCTCTAAGAGGTTTCTTTCAAAGTATTAAATAATATGTAAAACTATTTTAAAATTTATTTTATGAATGCATAAAAAGTACCCAAAATAGGTTTCTCCTTTTGGATATTGCCCCCACCCCCAAAATGTTTATTTTAACACATAAAGCATGACTTCTTACATAAATTTATGTATTTAAAATGGGATGATAAATATAAAAATGCCGAATGGTAGAGAAAAAGTTACTATGGAATCGTTTCGCCGTTTATAAATTAATGCCGTGTGGAGACTTAATGAAGAAATGCTTAATTATTCAAGACGTGCTAGATGTGCATTTATTCTGCACTGTTACTATCTCAAAATACAGACTGTTTTTGCTTTTTAAAGGTTGTAGAATCATTAAATTATGTAAAGCAGAGTATGTGAATGCCCTCGCCGGGACTCGAACCTGGACCTCTCGAATACGTGCCGAGTGTGCTACCGTTACATCACGAAGGCATTATGAAAGGAAGGATAAAATACCTTATATACGACCCCTTTTTACGGGCAAACGGAGATTAGGGGACCCAATCGCCGAATCTTGGTGGTAACGAATTATTGTTCACCACTTTTTACTTTGGGCGCCATTTGTAGACATTAGGGCTGTTTAAGCCAACTTCTACGAGTCAGAGCCTGCCAGCGAGGTAAGTAACCTGTGAAAGGCCATTTGGCTAATTTAGTTCTATTTTATTTTACGTTACTTGTTACCTTTTAAGTTAAGCCAAAAGTGTTGGCTTCGTTCAACACGAGTCGGTATCATCTGTGAAATTTATATGATGGGTTTTAAATGGTTTTTTACACCCTTCTTTGGACTTTGTCGTACTGAAGATTTGAGGATAATTCCCCACACAGTCTTCTAGCATCTCCTCAGTTTATGTTTGCAAGGAATACGAAACGCTATACGGATATGAAATTTATTTACTGAAAACAATAAACCCTTCTTCTAAGTGTTTAAGTGAAAGAAGGAGGAAAAAGAAATAGAGCACTTTTCAAAGATATTGCTCTATTACATGCAAAAGTAGCAGTAAACCTATTAAACTTAAGAAAGAAAAGGTTTGGTTTGATTTTATGTAATTACAGCAAAACTTCAGGGCTATCTGCCTAAGGGAAGGGATGCCTTTATAGAGGAATTTCTAAGGGAAACTGTAACTCGCCTACACGTTACACTGTCAGGACTTGTGTTTCTCTTTATTTGCGATGGAAACATGAATGATCCTGAGTAGGAACAGGGAGCTTACTCAAGCTATGTTCAAGAAGGTGTGAAGTAGACAACACAAGCAGGAAGGGTGTACGAAACCCTTTATTTTCAATACTTTACAGGTATTTCCGAACTTCGGAATACAGAGACCAACCACTTGTGGTCTGAGCGTAAGAATATAAAAACTACTAACTAAAACTCTAACTAACAGCTAACTTTGAATTAGTATACAAATGCCTAGCATTAAGACTGGCCTTTATTTAAAAAAGGTACGTATGTAGTACGCCGAGCTACTAAAACTACGATATGTCGGCAAATATCAAGAGGGCTAAACCTCTGGCCTTAAAGGCAACCAGCAACCGAGTGAAAACTCGTAAAACTACAGTGGCAAGCGGCTTTCTTCCTAAAACTCCTTCTCTCTCTCTCTTGGCAAAAACTTAAGTACTTGGCGTTAGCAAGACAATTTGCATAAACAAGTTAAAGCATTTAATTCTGGCCGGAAGTAGAAAATAAGGAGTGTTAGTACAGTTTTAAAATAAAATAAACATTAGTAAAACTTAGGATCCTTACAACACATGGGGAAAACCACGAAAACGCCCATGCAGCCAGCCCGTTCGCGGGATTCGAGCCTCGGACCGAAATACCAGTGTTCAGCGACTTTGCCGCTCTGCTGCTAGTGGGCCAAGAAGAAAGAAAAGGAAAGCTGTTGTAAAAGGTAATTTAATAAACTGATTATATGATTGCATCCTGTGTATATATTAGTTGTACTATTTCATCTACAATTAGTTGACATAATATAAAATAGGAAATCTGCGCTCCAGGTGATGATACCTTACATAATTCGTTTATCATAGACAAAAATGGAAGCCATCTTTCATTTAATGAATATCACATATTTCAGTAAGAAGCTATTTTAACTATATATTAAATTTATTGATCCATTTTGAGAAGAAAACTTTTTATTTTTCTGTAAGTGATGTAATTTATTTTATGGAAGTCTCGCATGCATCTGAGAAATTTTATATTTTGCATTTCATAGTTCCATTGTCATATTACATATCAAGGTTTTAGGGTTTTGAACAATTTAAAAATATATTTTCTAAGAGTACTGAGATAAGTAATTGGGAACGAAAACAATGCATTTGGTTGTTAAGTAGAACATCCCATTGGAATTGAATAGAAATTTTCTTTGAATTTAATATAACTCTTTTCTTCTTATAAGTAATAGTTTTAGTTTAGGAAAATTTGTAAATTATTTACGTTAGATTCAACTGATGAACGTAGATGCGGTCCGGCACGTGGCCTTCGTCCAGCACCGTCCCCATTTCTGATTCGGAATCTGAAAGAAAAAAAAAAGTATAAATCAAGTGTATCACGAAGAACACGAAACTTGAATAATGAATGAGAAAAACAGGAAAAAAAGGAGTAGGTATTAAAAAAGGGAAATATCGAATAGTAGCAAATGTAATAAAGTTATTTTCTAACTCTAGCAAAATATTCTGTTTACATAAGGAAAGCAATGTAAAGCAATGCCAAGAACATAATTTTTCTAAATAACGAATTGCTTGATGTTTTGAAAAGGAAATGATTTGATAGTTTTATGAAAGAAAAAATTATTTAAATAATCATCTCAGATTAGGAAAACATTAATTCGATTATGTAGTTAATTTCTGACTTGTTTACTTGTTTCCTTTCCTTGATTGTTTGAATTGAATTGTTTGAATTGATCGCTTGAATTGATTCCTTTCCTTGATATTTTAACTAAAATATATAATTAAGTACTAGAATATTTTAAAATTATTTTATTTATATTTATGAATTTAAATTATTTGCTTTATAGTAAAACAGCTTCCATCTATTCTTTAATATTTTAAGAGATCATTGCTTGTTTGCATAGTGCTTTTTTATCCAGAAATTTAATACTTTCAGAGAATGATCTCTGTTAAGAATGGCTTTTCTGATTTGGATATATATCAAACTAATCATATAATGTATATCTCTCCCTTGAAAATGTCCTTGATTATGTATCCTCGTCTTTTACTAATATTCACAAAACTTGCTATTTTTTCTTTGGTTCAACTTTTCACTTTTTTTCTCTTCTAATCTTAAAATTTGTAGTTAGTTTCTGTAATATGTGTGACTTAACTGTTCAATATATTACTATACGTAATACCATATTCACTCTCATATATAAATTAATAAGATATTGGTATTTATATGTATATGTTCAATGATAATAGTGTTAAAATTTATACAATGTAATTATAACTGAGCCTATTATTATAATAATTATGTATTTTATATGAATGAATTATATGAATTACAGTATATTTGAGAGAAACGTTAATGCTCTTGAAGCAGATTTATAAATATATCATACCGCCATTTAAAAATAAAGCTAATCAAAACAAAATGATTATTTTTACTAAGATTTAATGATTATTAAAAAAACTTTCGAAATCGATAGAAAACAGACGTGCGCGTAGCATAATTGAGATTGCCATGACGAAATTGATTTAACAAGCTGCGTATTCACCACATTTCAGTTAAAAAAAATTGAACATTCCCGGAATTAAATTTTGACTACTTGTACATTTTATCACATAGGTAGCTTTTATTATTTTGTCAGTCAATATTTGTTTTTATTAAAATTAATAAATTTTCAGATAGAAGCACATTTCCTTGTAAGAAAATATATTTAATTGACATCACATTACCCAGTCATAACCATTAATATATATATTAATAGAAACCTTTATATAAAAGATACCATTAATGGAAACCTTTATAAAATACCATTAATGGAAACCTTTATAAAAGATACCATTAATGGAAACCTTTATAAAAGATGCTTTTGTAGTTATTTGTACACCGAAAAACGTGTTTTAGATTCTAATAAAACTTATTGATACTTTCATAAAGCTCGAAAATTTAATAGAAATTTCCAAATTTGTAAACAAGTACTTTTTTGCGACTTACTTAAAAAATCGTTATTAACAGGAAAATTTTTGGAGAAAGTAGGAATATTCGGGAATAACATGCAGCTTCGGCAAAAAATTAGTTTTAGATTAGCACAGGCTTTGAATAAAATTATGAATATTAAAGACAATCTAAGATAGGTCTTTTCAGCTTGTAGATATAAAGCTTATTAAAACAATTATTGAAAAGCGTTTATTTGCATGAAAAAGATTACGTAATCAAAATGCATTCTCACAGGGAATAAATCTTTAAAAGGTTAATAACTGTTGCTTTCTGTAATACATATGATTTGCCTGTTTAATATTTATTACCACATAATACAGTATTTACTCTCATTTATTTTCCTTTTCTCATTGACTTTATTATTTGAGCACACAAGGGCTATCTTAAGGGAGGATACCTTTGTGGAGGATTTTTAAGGAAAATTGATTTGTATTTGCATTACGTATGAGAACACAAGAAAGCTTTCACGTAACTAGCCCTTTCGCCGGGATTTGAGCCCGGGTCAAAGTACCAGTGTCAAGCGACTTTACAGTTCTGCCGCTGATGGGCTACCATATACCAGGACAGGCTTTAAAGGAAGTTAGCAGACTAAAAGCATATATGAATAGATGTGCTATTGTTACATATGTAAAAGAAGTTAAATATGATGATTATCTAAAACACCACTTCGTTTTACTTTCAAGGCAGTACGTCACCTATTTCTTGAGTTACATGTTAAAATAAAATTACTTTAGAGTTCGTAATTGAAATCTGGAGATTTTTTTACTGCCAGCAAAGACATACCATAATAAATTTTACAGACTTATGCAGTGAAAAATTACAGCAGTGTTTTTTCTGAATCAAAAGAGAAGAGGATTGAAAATTTTTTTGAGTTTTAAATTCCTAAATTATATGCATTCCATATTACCGCTCTTGAAAAAGAAAACAAAAAGTCTATTATCTCTCTAGATTCATAGAGCAGTTTTTTCAACAGTCACCTAACCACCATCTAAGACCCTTTGCCTATCTTTATGCTGTATAAATTAGTAATACTATCTGCTACTAAAGTATTAGTGTAAGACTCTCCAAAAGAACATTCATTGGAGAACAGTAAATAAAAATGTAACTGACATAAAAATATATAACTTTTTTACTAGATTCTGCTAGTATGCTCACGAAGAAATCTAGCATTTTCTTCTTTTCAATAATAATAAAATTAATATGTAAGGATCTTAAGTTTTACTAACGTTTATTTTATTTTAAATCTTTACTATCACTTCTTATTTTCTACTTCCGGCCAGAATTAAAAGCTTTAACTTATTTATGCAAATTTGTCTGGCGAACGCCAAGTACTTAAGTTGTGGCTTTTTTGCCAAGCAAGAGAGAGGAAGGAGTTAGAAGAAGCAGGCCGCTTGCCTTAGCAGTTTTACTCGGTTGCTGGGTTGCCTTCCAGGCCAGAGGTTTAATCCTCTTGATTAATTTTTAAACGTATTGTAGTGTTAACAGTTCTCTGTACTACATACGGCTCCCTGTTAATATACGGCCAATCTTCTCGGAGGCCCTGTTTGTTACTCCAAAGTTAAGTTAGAGTTTAGTTAATATTTTTATATTCTTACGTTCAGATCACAAGTGGTTGGTCTCTGTATTCCGAAGTCCGGAAATCATTGTAAAGAGTGAAAAATAAAGGGTTTCGTATACCCTTCCTGTGTATCTTGTCAACTTCCCACATTTATTGAACATAGCTTTAGTAAGCTCCCTGTTCCGAGTCAGGTTCTTGAATGTTCCCAAAGCAAGTAAGGAGAAACACTGAACCTGATAAATGAAAAGTAGAATATGAGAATTAAACATATGGCTTTGAATATTCTCTTTTTGTCACCTCCTGATACGTCGCATTCAGTAACACAAAGGCATTTCTCTATTTATATCTTTTGAATGTTCGCTTGCTTTCTTCCTTCCTACAGCCACTTCTACATTCACACACGAACCGAATGGCAACGATGAAAATATTTGTTTTGTTTTGTTTGTTAAAGCGCTTATTGTAAGTTAATTACAATAACGAAGAAATTAAAAAGTATCTTAATTTCTTCTGTAAACTGTAAACTCAGAATCACATTGCATAAAACATTCCTAAAATTCTCATTCAGCATAGTCAAAATCTTGACAGGGTCTGTTTAATAACCACAGGTCACAAATACCCATCTTTCGAAGTAACTTTATAAATTACGCTACAAATTTTAATATTCTATAGAGATTTTCGGCTAGGCCTAACGATAATAGAATGCTCCACCAATTGTGTACAAATGCTGATAGTCATATAACAGGCAGTAAAGCAACTCAGCTGATGGTAAGAAAGTAAGTAACCATCTTTCATTGATGTATAATATAATATGAACCTTATGATGAAAACTAGTATTTCATGATTATCAAAATTTGCAAAACGTAAATTGTTCAAAATATTGTCAGTTTCAGCAGTTAGACAGAAGCGATGTCAAATGAATTTCGATTCATTGGTCACTAGTTTGCTTAGACATTTATTAGATGACATATTTTCAGTTCAAGGAATAAAAAATGCCCTTGTTTTAGAAAACATAATATTTTGTTCAAATTGATTTGTAATATAACTCCATTTGCTGTAAAATGTGTAATGCTGTTGATGAAAATATTTACGAAAAGCGTGTTAGATAATGACAAGTTTTGAAATTTGTATAATCATTATAAAACAAATAATTTTTATATAAAATCTCTATTCTTTTTTTTTCTGTAAATTTTTGAAATAAAAAATGGTGCACGAGAACAAATATTTTCTTAATTTGATGACATTATTAAGGCTGTAACGAGCGTCCTACATTCATTCAATAAATATTGAAAGAATACTTTCAACAGTCAGAATAACTAGGAATAAAGTAGAAACCAACTAACGAAACTCCTTTGAATAAATGTCTTTAGAAAGATATATATCAGAAAAAATAGAATATTTTTCAGCTGTGGATTGTACTATATCTGAACTTTTAATTAATTTAGCAAAGTCTGTTTAAGATGACTTCTGATATTACTACTGTTACTACTAAATACTTCTGATGTTTTTAAGTAGAAGGACCTGTAAGGAATAAATACGTAAATATTGTATTAAATTACTGAAAATCTAGTAGTATGTTTTTAACCATTAAAAAAGATCAAGATTACATGGCAAATTAACAGACAAAATAAGTATGGAATTATAGTTAAGGCTTCTAGTAGAATGATTAACAATTGCAGTTCATGTTTTCCTAAATGAGTCTAACGAGGTGAATTCTGAGTTTTTCTTTTCATGTTTTTCCTGCATGCTAGTTAAATGAAAGCAAATAAACATTTAATGTTTTTAAAGATTTAGTATATTTT